ACACTAATTTGTTGAATAAATAAAATACAAATAAATCGCACTGTTTAACTATTAATAATAGTAATTTTAATGTTATTTTTTCTTAATGTATAAAAGTACTAAAAAATAGTTATATTTCTAATTTAACCCAAAATTCACTCAAAACCAAATTAATGGACTTTTTAGGGGAGAGACGTGTTGGGGCATTTCTCGAAGAGGAAATAGTGCAGCTTGGGAACTTGATTAAAATAGCTGAGAGTGGGAGTACAAACGAGTATGTCACCACGTCTTTATTGCGAATGTTGAGCTCTTTTGTTCTCAAGTTGAACACTTTTTTTGTCGACTCGAAAAAGACGCGCGACCTTCAACTTGAAGAGGTGGTCCAAGCAGTCAATTTTTTGAAATCCCGTGTGGATGACTCGAACTCTCGAGTGCAGTACCTTCTAGCCCAAGTTCCCGAAGTGAAACACACATCAGACCCTGTTATTACAATGGCGGAGTTACAAAACGTCAAGCCAAAGTCTTCTGAAGATTTAAAAGAAATCAAAGAAGTACCGAAAGAGCCGATGATCAAACCCATTGTTTTTGAGAGTGATCAAGACAGACTTTTGAAATTAGTTGGAACACAAACGAATATGGAGTTGTTAGAGAAGTGGACAGAGAAAAAGAGGTGTGAAGTAATATACGATTCAGACGATGACGGGTTGTCGTCGTACTCACTCAATGCGAAGATCTGTGGTAAAAAGAATGTAATGATATTTGTGAAGACAACAGACAACTGTCTTTTCGGGACTTTCAATACTGTCGAGTTACCAACACCACTTTCAGAGTCCGAGTATTGTTTTGTAAGAAACGACGCAGGTTTCTTTATTTTTTCTTTAGAAAACCACAAATCTTCACCACAGAAGATTTGTAAGAAAATTGATGCTTCGAGTGACGCGTCTATATTAATCAAGTCGTCGATGACAGACGTGTTTTACGTCTCAAAAGCCTTTTGTGTAAAGAATGGGGGGTCTTTTGTTCTTCCTGGGTTTTCACAAGAGTATGTTGTAGAAGGTGAAAGTGGGGATGACACTTTAACTGGGACACATGATCCACAGAAGTTTGATGTGCGCAAGGTCTTAGCTGTTGTCTGGGATTGAGGCTTTTCTTCTAATTGACGTTACAGTGGAGGTTGTGTTTGTAAGAATAAAGAAACGGAAATGAAGAAAGGAGTAAATATTATTGAGAAGCTTGTGCCAAGTTATCAATCGCTCGAAGTTGACCCAAAACGACTTGTTTTCTGTGTTCCATGACTTCACCCGCCAAGAACACCTCGTCGATTACTTGATACACTTTGTGGAAGTAATAGATCAAGTCAAGTTCACAAACACTGCCAAAGTAGCTGTCGAGTATTTCAACAAACATATGGATTGCCTCCAAGCAAGCCAACTCGTTGTCGGATTCGTCGACTCCGCAAATGAAATAAAGTCCAACGTATCTGCGATATACCAATTTCAGGTTGTGGAACTACTTGTTATTTTTGTCATTTATTATTTTTGAACAGAATGAATGAGTGGAATACAAACTTCGAGGAAATTTGTGTGGCGCGAATCTCTGGTGATCAAAATCCTATGGATGTCACTCGTCAGTTTCACTTTTTCATCTTCAGAGTATGCGTCGTACCACTTTGCAAGACGAACGCGGCCAACTTTGTTTTGGATGAAAAAGAAGTGGATCTGGTCGTCAATGTGTTGTAGAGTTCAAGTCGAAACAAACCATTCTATTGTGATTTTTCAAGTTCTTTCGAGTTTTCCTTTGTCATTCAATTTTTTGTTATATATAACACTTATAAAAAAACGAAAAATCGAGAACAAAAACTCGAAATAAGAACAGTCAAGACCTTCTTACCTTTTTGGGTTGACCAGGTTTCAATAATAACATATTTCTTTGATCATTCGGGTTATTTAAATTTATTTATTATAATAAATATATTAGTTTTTTATATTATAACAATTCAATTGATATTTATAGTTTTTTAATAATTATTTAATTATTTTTTTATTGGTTATTAAATTGTTGTTTCAAATTAATTATATTCTAATTATATTAATTGTATTTTTAATATAATAAATTAATTAATTTTTATTATAATTTAACTCAAAATAGTTCAACGAATCATTTTGGAGATTCGTGTATTTATTAGATTAAAAATTATCTAAAAATTCGCACCTTTTTTACACAAATATTTATGTGCAAAAAATGCAGTTATCAAATAAAAAAATATTAAATAATGTTTGTTATTTATACTTTCAGTTTATAATTTATATATTATTAGAATACCAATTCAATCCAACAAAAACAAAGTTTATCACAGACGTTTATAGCGAAGTTACTTTTTGAAAAAGGATTGTAAAAATGCAAGAAGCTAAAAAACAAATAAAAACGATTGTTTATGATAAAATCAAAAAGATTTTATAACGTGTTGGAATAACTATTCAATTACATACAGTAAACATGTTTTTGTCCACTGGTTCAAATGCGCTTGAAGACCGGTTTCTGAGAGCTTCCTCTACCAACTCGAGTTCGGATATGCCAAGTCGCTTTATGTGGCCAAAATATCTGTTTTTGACAGCGTTTGGACTTCTGTTTACAAGTTTCTCACTGATGAGTGTCCACTTGTTTCCAACACAGTTTCTTAAAGAAAGAATCGTCGAATCTTCTTCACAAGTCCATTTTCGTTTCTCGTTGCGTTGAGACAAATTGTTTATGTATCGTTCTTTGCATTGTTTTTTGGTTCGTTCGGGAACCAATTCAGAAACTTTGTCCCAATTGTTCTCCCCGAACATTTCGACTGCTTTAAGGAGTATTTCGTCTTCCTCCTTTCGCCATGTACGAACAATTTTCTTGTGCTTTGACCTCTCACTGTTTTCGCAATACGACATTGATGTTTTGTAGTTAGAGTTCTGTTCTTACAGTCGGATTGTAAAAAATTCGCATTTTATCACTGCTTTTTAAGCCTATTTTTAACCAAAAAACGCGAATTTACTGGAAATGTGTTCTGATTTTAAGGGAAATAAAAATTTGAATTGGGAAAATAAAGGGTAAAATTTAAGAAAAAAATGGGGGTCAAAACTGTTTTGTGGAATTTGTCTTTTTGTTTTATGGCCAAGTAAATAAAGGATATTGATTGGAATTTATTTTTAAAAATAGAGGATTATTTTTAAAAAGTCAATACAAGGTTTTGAAGATTTACATAAAATCGTGTAAATGTATTGTTTGTATTAAACTTTAACTGCTATTTCACAGTCATAATAATTATTTGAATGAAAAGGTGTTATTTGGTTTTACATTGTTACAATAAATGATAATGGAAATGTTTTTTTGGTGGTAAACAAATGTTTAAAAATTATAAAAACATAATGGCATTCACAAGCGAAATTATTGTATGAAGGTTGATTTTTTAATTTGAATATCCGACATTTGTTTTATAAGACATTGAAAGAGTTCGATAATTAAACATTGTTAATTTATGATATATACATTACACGTGGTTTGTAATTAAATATAAAAGTATCATTTTAAATTAGTTTGTATTGAATTAGTTTGGTTTAAAAAATTGTTCTGACTTTAAAAAAAAAAGATAAAACCATCCATTTCACAATGTTTATTCATTTTAAATTCAATAATGAACAACAAAGAAAGTAACATGAAACAAGAGTAGAGATTTCTATATTTTTCTTCAAATTAGTTAACAATCTTTGTCGCTTTTAACGGTTTTTAAGTTATTATCATTGTTACATATAATATAAACAACTTGTTGTTTCTGCCCATTAATCATTTTAATAAAAAATGAAGTTTGAACAACAAACTCATTTATGCTATTATTCTTTTTTTATGTTTAGTCATTTGAAAACATATTTTATTTAAAACCCGATAATCAATATTATTTTTTTTCGACCAAATAATGTTCTTTGATATATCATAGTATATTTTAATTAAAATATTAAATTATTTAGAATATGTTTTTTGAAAATGATAATTTCTTTTTCAAAATAACAACTTCTGTTATATCCCGGATTTTGCTTCAAAATGGTAATCAATAAAATGATCCCCTGATCAAACACAACTTAAATACGAAAAAGATAAAAATAGAATTAACTCCCAAAGTTATATTTATTATATTCCGTATTTAGAATTTGAACAAATGTCTTTATGTATAAATAAAAGCTCATTTCCCGATTTTGCATAAATGTTGGCAGTATAAATAATAATGACAAAAATAAAACAAAACCAAATATATAAAATGTTTGTTAAAATATTAAAAAGACATAAAAACAAAAAAGTGTTTTTTTGTTTATAAAAAAAATATTAAACCAAATTATAAATACAAATTTCCCGAAAAAAGGAAGCATTTGACAGAAATAAATACAAATTATTGTTATTTTTATACAGATAAAACAATATTGTATTATACTGCTTACATAAAATACATTTTGAGGCGAATACAGAAAAAAACGCTGGACGTTTTTTAAGTACATTACAAAAACACATTTTGTTTTTCAAATGAATTAAAATAGAAGTAGTATATAATAAACAAATTGTTTTTCAACTATAAGAAAAGTTACTATACAATTAGATAGTTGAACCATTTGGACATTTTTCAGTCTATCAAAAATTGAATGTTAAAAATAATGAAATAATAAAAATGGATGAATGAACATAAGCATTTATTTTTGATAAAATTAACTCAAAAGAGAATAAACTTATATGTTTAACATTACAACATTTGGAACAAACAAATTATTATAAAATAATAATTGTTAAAAAATAGAATGTTCAGTCATTTCTTTTCAGTTGCCTTTAAATTTTTATTGAAAATAACAAACTAACATATTGCCAATTAGTTTTTCAGACGAGAATTATATTTCAAATGAAAAAAATCGAAAAGTTGTTTTATTTGTTATTTTTTTCATGATTAAAAATCAAAGAAACGTTTGCTATCAATGACTGTATCTTTTTTGTTGTTTTGTTTGAAAATAAAATTTTTGGAATTAAAAACGAAACAATCATATAATTGTGATTGAGTGCAATATTGGTTTATGAAAATGGACTTTAAAATTAAGTTGTTTTTTTAGTGAAGTCCGTTATATAATTAAATTTTATTTTAATAGAAAAAGAAATTAAAATATTATTCCAAACTTTAAAAATAAATAATATATTAATATAGGTAGAATGTAACTTTTAATTAACATAAAAATAAAAAAGCCACAAGTAATAAAATAATATGGATTGAAATGGAAATAAATGTCCCAAAAAACGAACAACCACATTTTTTTAAAAAAATACAAATTCATTTCGATATGTATTTTTATCGCAAAATTAATAAATCAATTAAATTGTTTAAGATGCCATTTAATTTTATTATTAATTAAAAAAATTATTATTCGTGTTAATAATAGAAATTATTAACACGAATTTTATATTTTGTTTCGTCTAACATTAAAAACGTGTGTATTAAACAAAATATGCAATGAATACATCCTTTTATTCAATAGAATGAAATGACAAATTTTATTTTTTCTTAAAATTGGTTGGAGTATTTTATTATTAATCGAAGTTAAAGTAATTAGAATAATATATCAACGATTATCACCATCTTCAACAAAACCAAAAATTGAACGGACTTGGTAATTTGTATTAATCTCACAAAAAATCTTTAATAAATCAAATAAAATTAACAATTATTTCTATTCAAATTTCAAATTTATACAAAACATACCTCTTTATTGTTTTTTATATACATTTAATTGAATAAAATTCGAGTTTAATTAAATTAGATCTAATTTTGAACTTAATTAAACCAATTTTTAATGATAAATTATTGATTGAATTGTTAAATAAAATTATAACAAATTGCATTCAAAACTTTTTTATTTTTTGATGTCGCATTAATTCGATAAAATGTTTTAAATGTATTTTTTTCGTTGTGAGTAAAAGCGTTGTTAATTATTTAATGAGCATTATTTAAAATACAATAGTTCACAAACATAATTGTCATTCCGTTGTTTAACCATTAAAAATGTTATTTTTATTTTACATTTAAATACTTGTTTATAATGATGATGTTTATTTAACTATCCACCAACTTTCAAAACACATGAACTCTTGTAAACAAGTTTTATTTTTAATAAGAGTTGATAATATATTCTTTTAATGTTCAAATACATCAAAATAAAATATTTTTGATAATAAATTAATCAAATGATTTAAAATAATTAAACTGGTTAAAAACGAACAAATTGTTTTTTAAGTAATGATTTTTTACTCAAAATTATAATTGATTTTGTTGTGCATTAAAATAAACGAATTCAAATAATTAATTAAATAAGAAAATCAAATAGTCAAAAGCAAGATTAATAATGTATGTCCACTAAATTGTTTGTAAACTTGTTTACTTTCTTTTCGTTTTTAAATATGTGTTAAAATGAAGTTATCTATAGCCACATTAACACCACGTTAATAAAAAAATTGGATAATAAGGCACAAACACAAAAATAAAAACTGCATTTTATTATTTAAAAAATTTTTTATTGATTTTTTGTTTTAACTACAAACAAAAGACATTGTATTCATGATTATAACCTTAGTATTTTAAAAATGTTTTTTGAATTGGGTTGAGGGTTGTTATACATAGTAACTTGTTAAACAAAATTAATGTGTTTACTTTAAACGTAGAGATCAACCTTTTAAAAAATAACACAATAATCGTGGAGTATTTATTTTGTTCAATATTATTTAAATTAAGACCTACTTTTTAAAGTCGGTTCAAAAAAACAAAAACAATTGAAGAAATGACAACAACAAACACCCAATGGTTGTAATAAGTTATCTATATCATGTATTTGTTTTTGAATATATTTTAGTGTTTGAACAAAAAAATGCTTTTTATACTTTTATCTTTTTGAATCTACTTATTATTATTAAACATAATCACATATACTGTAGTTGTTGAGTGATTATACTTTAATATAATAATAACTTCATACTTAATGATATATATCAAGAAATAGACTACAAATTAAAGTCTATTATTTATTGTTAAAAAAAAATAATTAATAATTTTTTATAATCATTTTTACTTAAAATAATAGTTCCCATGAACTTTTGTTTAACCATTAACAAAGTTTTAATTAAGTCGAAAATAAGTTATAAAAATTTTAATTTTAATAAGGTCTGTCTAAAAAAGTTGTCCATTTAACAAAAATTTACACAAAATAAGTTTAACAAATTCGGGAAAATGTGTTAAACAAATTAAACACAGTTTCCCGGAATATTACAGTTATGACGGTCCAAAAATGCCCGGACAAAGTG